CCTGGTCAAGCCATTGGATGGTCATACCAAGGGTTGGAAGCCTCATAGCTATGGTTAAAATGAGCATGCTAAGCCTATGAATAGGTTTAGATAGATGTTTACTGAATGATACGGATACAAAAACGGTCCGTGTTTAGATGGCAAACTAAATTCAATCAAACACATAAGAGACTGGTTCTTGTGAAAAAAATATGGTGTTATACTAAATCTAACCAAGTAGTTTTCCCTGCTTAACAAGCATTGGAATGCTAGTGATAACGTAATAATTTCAAAGGGCAGACAATGGTGGTGGTCAATGGTCAATACTACCACTTGTCGTGTTATAGCCAGAAGTTGTTAGTTTAGCTTAGCACAGAGATTAGGAAGGGGAAAAAACCTAGCCTGGCTCAGTCTAAAGGTAAAACAGATCCCCTACCCGCACCTTAGATGTTAGTTGGGTTAAGGCAGCTAACTGTCTCATGGCGCTAGTTTCATATTTTACAGCAACATTCAGGAGTGGTATCGATCTTGGCGTCTTTATTTTCAAAACGTTTCATTTGTGTTTTATGTGAGGCATTAAAGGCTTCAGGTCCAGCAAGGAGCCAGACATCCATGTGTAGTCTTTTGTTCCTGGGAATCTTGATCTCAGCTTAATGAGCATTTTCAAGAATGTTTAATACAGTCTAGCGCCTCAGGTGTCCTCGTCTACTTCCAGCTGCAGCAATGTGCTACTGTACATACACTAGAGGAACCTTGTTGACTGAATGTGTGTAGGAAGGTCAATCATTCTCCCACTCAACCCAGGCTTGAGCGGACAAATAAATGGTCAGGCAAAGGCGCTTGGACCCCATGCTGAGAGCGAAAACGAGAAAGAGGAAAAAAAACACGGGTTGGAGAGACAAGTTTAAGAGCGATATGAAGGGAGAAAGACGAATTAAGACAGAGGCGGGAAGATAAGTCGAGGAGGCAGAGATATTCAGAAGATAGGGAGCATAGCAGAGAGGCGGGGGTGGCTTTTTAAAAATGCATGCGTCTCCATTTGGCAGAGGGGGGAAAGATCCCAGCACAGAGAAAGCAGTAGCATTAACACTCAAACTGTCTAAAAGAAACACGTTCTTATCCGTGGAAGAAAATACAGATGAAGGTGAGAGTGAAGAGAAGGAGTTGAGATGCCCTGAGGCTTTACTCTCTTTGCCCCATGATGCCATTTAACTGCTGTGACTTACTGTGGAGCCTCACACACAAACACACAAGGATGGCACAAACACATCCTCACAAAGCACAGGCATGTTTTCATGTATATAATTTTACAGTTGAGTGTTAGCTGAAGGCCATTGGGTTAAGTGCCCTCAATTGCAGACTATACGGTAGGACTTGGTTTGCATACCACACACTCACAGGCAGCTCGTCTTCTTATGAAATACACCCAGTGTCATGGCGGACATGTGGTTCCTATTTGTGCCGCAAATCATCAGTCAGTGGATTCAGTGACCCACTATATTTCACAAATTTCCAACAGGGCTTACTTATGTCTGTCTCTAATCTGCCAGGCAAGAGGAATAATACGCACTGAGGGAATATAATACAGACATTTTGTCTCCTTTGGGAATCCTCAAAAAACAGAAAGCCCTTCATCATTCCAAGACATAATCCTTTCAACAATAATGTACATTGCAGCAGCTCTTGGATGAAAGTACAAAGGATTTTAAGGTGAAGAAAAAAGAGTGAGCTTTTTAGCTACCACCGAAAATCCAATTTTACAGGCAGGGTAGAGAGAATTGAAATACATGTTGACATTAAGCACGGCCATGTTGATGTAAGTTATCGTAGAGTGACCAGTACAATTATTGCTGTTGTTGGATGCCCTTTGAGAAATCATGCCTCTGGCTGACAAAAGACTTCTAAACTCAAAAACTGTAGGTCATTTAGTAATGTGTTATTCATAAATACTTTCCAAAGCCACTATAAATAGCTGTTACACAAATTATTCTTCATGATTGTTCTGATATGCCACCGTTATAGTTAAGGTAAAAATAAAATGAATGGATAAGAAAAAGGGCAACTTGGTCAAGGTCAAGGGAAAAGCATAGTTAACTGAGAGCGACCTGGCAAGCTATCACGCTACTTCTACCTTTTGCTTCTCGGACATGAACGTCATAATTCACATGGCCACACATAGCCCATGTCAGAAGAGTAAAATGACATGGTTCAGTTTAAATATTTCATCATACGACCAATGCGGTTTTCTGTCTCCTGAGGACAGTGAACAGAAAGAATCTTTGGCTTTTGCCTCCTGGTGTGCTGATAGCTTTTTAATCATGTTTTTGCAGTTAAAAGTATCCAAAATCATGCTAGTTCAATTATGTATTATGATTGTAACTGAAGTTCCACCATGAGAAGGGAATTGTATATAACTGTTTGGTGAATATCATACCTCAATGGAGGAATGGCTAAAGGTAACAGCTAGCTTAAGAGAAGTAGCATTGCTAGCAGCATTTTTTTTTATCGGCAGGGCTTGAAATAAAAAATAAACATTCGGAGAGGTGCTAGAACATTTTAACATTTTATCAGTTTTTGTATTTGTCTTCACAAATGAGACATTATGCTAACAGGAAATATCACTTTGCTCACTGGCAAGTATAGCTAACATAAGAGGGTTCCATCAAAACTGAGATTTTGAAATACCCTATTAACCTTTTTAAATACACATCACAAAGGATCTCCAGAATAATTTTAACAAAGATAATAAAACAAACCACATGAACGAGAACCTTAGGTTTCTGCTTCTGCTTCAATGTTTGAAGAGGCATTGAAGCAGAAGGTCTCCCTATCTGCCTCTCCGCATTTCTGTGCATACATGTAGCATACTTGTCGGTATACGCCCATGGATTGGCCATCACTGGTTGTCATGGTTATCTTGCTATACTTTGCCTACAACGGTCACTATGGCGCCCAGGCTGAAGACATTATTCCAACACACCTTACAAAGGTTTTTCCAAGGCGTGTGCAACAACAAAACCCCACCAGAAACCATCATCAAATGTTTATTTTTCTCCACACGCCTCCTTTCTCTTTCACCTCCATCCGTCTCACTGTTTCACTATCACATTTACAATCCAACCTCTCTTCATTTTGCTTAGCATTGCTATTCTCACCATCCCCCCCTTCTCTCTCCTGGTCTCTCATTTCCCTCTTCTCTCTCTCTCTGTCTCTCTCGATTTCTCATTTTTCTATTTTCAATCTCTCTCCTTCTTCTTCCATCTTACTCAGATCTAATGAGCTCACCTTGGTCATAATATGTAGATGATGTCGTGCAGTAGTGTCTATTTACAGTTTACAGTCTGCTGAACACACTCCAACCGCCAGGGAAAATATTACTAGTTATTAATCTGCTCTGAAATAGATACAGCAGTCTGTTTATTTAAATGTGTTTCGAGTAATATCTCTCCCTGCCTCTCTATGTGCGTATTCATTGCATACAATCTGATTTGTGAAACATTAATATTGCTTAAGAGATTGGTTTTGTAATAACACATCACACTTTAAACCTCTTTAATCCCTGCAAATGCACACTGTGTGTGTGTGTGTGTGTGTGTGTGTGTGTGTGTGTGTGCGCGTGTGCGTGTGTGTTTCCCTTACTCTTACAGTGAAGAAGAAGAGAGGTGTGTGGCACAGCCGGAAATGTGCCAGACTGTTGTTTTGTTTTATAAGATTGCGGTTCACACAGCCACATCAAACACTGATATTTGCTGACATTTCCTGAAGTTTGCTGACGTGGGCATTACACAAAAGGTCACTGAACTGTGATTACAGTAGATGGAGCGTGTTCAATTGTTTATTAGGCTATTGAGTAACCCTTCTGGCAAGAAAAATGTAATAACCTGCTAACTCACACCAAGTAAGGTAGCCAAATATAGCCCCGGGATAACTCTAATAAAGCAGTTTAAGACAAAAAGAAAACCGGATACAGCCCCACTGTCTTTCCCTCTCTTTCTCCCGGTGATGTCACCCAGAAGTTAACGCCCTCAGACTCCTGTGGAGCCACCGGGGAGCGTCCAGGCCTCAACACTGACACGCTGGAGCTCTATAAAGCTGCTCCAGCCTGGAGCACCTGCCAACATAAAAGCTGCTTAGTGGGGCAAAACTCTGGCTGAGTCCCTTAAAGCTGCACTAATCAGAGCTGTTAGGGGAAGCATCGCAACCGTATCGCACACACCATTACAAGAACATGCCAAACCATGAACACAAGAGATGAATGGATGGACGGTGATGTTTACTACAGATCGCTACATTTAAGCTGAAGCAATTGTGCATGTGTGCTTCATTGGAGTGAATACAAATATTTTCTTATGTGGATGTCACACAGCATCAGGTGGGACTTCTTGCATGCCTGAATGCAACAGCTCCATCCGGCACAATAACATCTGAACAAGACAAAGAGCCGGGAAGCTGTTGCATGTCTGAGCATGCGTCTTTGAGCGCTCTGACACCATGACGGCAGCGGGGGTCTGTGGATGCAACAAGCCACCCTGAGCACTTTCCGCGCTGATTGGAGAGGAAGAGTAGCAGGAAAAGGATGAGAGAGTGTAAACACGAGGAGAACAAAAGAGCCACAGAGGAGGGCAACAAGAGACTACAGCAACCAAATGGGCCAGGCAAATATAACACTGTCCCCCTGTCCGCCCAAACTTGGCAAGCTCCTCCATAGGCCATCAATGCCCTCTGCATCTCCCAGGAGTCTGCCACTTTTCTGCACAGCTAGCTAATACATTAGCATGCAGCCCCATCCCCCTGCAGGGGCAACCAGCGGCTCACAGCAGCACTCATCGTACACAGAAACGCTTCATATGCTGCAGCAGCTGGGGATCTGTAGGGAAAGACAGTCATGGTGGTACATTTTGGGTGTATCTGACACATCTGACAAAAGCAAATGGAAACACCAGGTCATTCCATCATTTAGGATAAGTACTATCTACTGATGGGTCCATTGTAAACACCTTTCCCTCCCCTTGGAAACCTACCTGACTTTGAACTCAGTGAGCTGAGGCATCTGAGGCAGCTGAGGCATCTGAGGCGGCTGAGCCCCCGGTTCCACACAGTAGATCTGGGGGAAGTAAAACCGCTGCGACTGAAGGTTGATGTCCATGGTGTCAACACAAAGCCGACACTTAGGTCAGTTGGTCCACGACAACAAACGTAGGGGAATACACGTCCGTATTTGTTGCTTTTTTCTTTGTTTGTCCTGAATTTCTTCGCTGACACTTTCACTAAAGGTCGGAGTTCAGCCACAGCATCCCCAAAACCCTTCTCCCTGAGTGGATCACAGAGCGCTACCTCCAGGAAGGCATCCCTCTCATATTAGTTCCTCCGCGTACAGCACATTCAATCACCTGGCATTAAACAGACACACTAACCTACTACCCACAAGCAGCCACTCAGCAGCTGGGAGCACAAGAACAAAGATGACTTCCAGAAAAAAAAAGATGCTGCCTCATGTAAAGACACCAATAAAAATCCCAGTTTGTGGTCATGAATTCATCCTTTGGCAGGTAGAGAAGCACAATTAGGAAGAAATGAAGGAGACTGTTGATCTGTAGAGGCAAGAGAGGCTTAAAAAAATGTGAAAGTAAGCCCTCAGCCACACAGAGAGGAGACTGAATGGGAGATGAGAGTCCTTTGGTTTTTACGCTTCAGAGACAGAGGTAAGGGGGGGGAAAAGAGAGATGGAGATAGAGAGAGATTCCCGGTGAGGCGTTGCCCTCACACTGCCTCTCCTCTCTGTGTCTCATTGGATTACCTCCTCCCTCTCTAGCCCCCGCCCCCCCTCCACCCTCCCTCCATCCCTCCCCTCCCCTCCCAGCTGTGACAAAAACGATGGGCCCCAGCCACGAAGGCTGCTGGGTCCTGCCCTTCCCTCTCCCCCTTCTCCTCCAACGACCCCCCTTCCTCTCAGCTCTCCTCTCTCAGCTGGCTGATTGGCCGAGGCGAGGATGCGTAAGCCCGCGTGGAGGGGGGTCGGGGGAGAGGAAAAGGAGGAGGAGGAGGAGGAGGAGGAGCAACAGATTTTAATTAATCTGATGGCTCCCGTATTTTCTCGCATATGATTTGAGGCGGCATTCCGGGCTCACACACACACACACACACACACACACACACACACACACACACACACACACACACACACACACACACACACACACACACACACTGGCATACATACACACACACACACACTGGCCTACACACACTGATCTGACAGCTTTTACTGGATATTCATTAACAGAAGGGGTGACGTGTGTAGAAAAAGCTAGTTCCTTTGTTGGAACGATTAGGTAAATTGTCTGCATACAATTCATGTAAACTTCACACAATTAGAATAATATAAGGGTCATTAGCAGATACATAAATGGAAACGCAACCAAATGTGAGTGTGCACTGCCAACAATTCCCCTGTAATACTCTGTATATCCAGATGCATTTAGATTATATATTATATTGTAAGTAAGTGGAGTGTGGCCACAACACTAATCTTCTGGGATAGGGACCACATCACAGCTGCCGACCAATAACCAATACATCCCTCCCATATTTACTGTACTTCCTCCCTGACATCCCAGGAAAATGTCCCACGCGTTGGCTCTTTATAGTGCAGCTCTGCCACATCACCCACATCTGTCCTGCTGTGTTTTGCCAGCAGGCAATTCCATTGATTGGAACGGCTACAGAACTGTTAGATGACATGGTTTGCTTTGTATTCGTTGTGGTAAGCAGTGTCAAACATTGCAATTTGACAGCAATTCAGTGTTCTCCCCTCGCCGACTGAAAATGTTGTTTGGCCACAATTATTTGTGAGAATAGAATATCATCAGTGCCGTTTTTATTTCTGTATGATATTTTATTAGTTCACATTTTTGCGGAACCCTGGAAAAAACAAATTTGCTTCTAGCTAAATATGAATTGCAATGAGTTGCATCATGTAGCTACTCACACAGATAAGGCATCATTACAGCTACATAGCAGTTTAAGCACAGATTTAAGGGGGTGGTCCAACAAATTTGAACTGCACTTCAACAAAGTTAAAAGACTATCAAGAGACAGTATGAAGAAAAAGTAGTACGGGCCGCTCTTAAACACTGGATTCTACATTTCTCATAAATGAACCTTATTTCACCAATAAATGAAATACAATGTGTAACATAGACTTCCTGCGCAAATCAAGCAGAACACGTAAGTTCTGAAGGATGTTAGAGAGTTCCTAGCTAGTTGCCATGTTGCGACTCAAGCCTCAAGTGGTTTTCCGGATGTCAATCTCCCTAGACTCCAATATAAAATGGCCCAACGTTACAGCAGAAAGAAACATGTTTAAATCATGAAACATAGAAATGCTGCATCACTTCACGATCCACCTTACGATGAGTAACTGCTTTCGAGGGCACATCATTGGGCTGTTTTTGTGTCGTCTTATTATAAGTCGTTTGGGCTCGAGCCCTGAAGTTTTACTTTTTAAAACCAGCACAAACAACTGATTTATTTCCTGAAAAGAGTGCATGTTAAGGCCCGGACACACCGATCTGACAACAAAGAACTGACACAGACGGACCCCGACAGTTGCGTCGCCTCGCGTCTCTGCGTTTTTGGCCATGTGTCGCACTGGAACACACCGCAAAGACTTCAGCCGACGGCCAAGAAGCACGTACAAACTGTGCATGCGTGAGTGGCAATAACTCTCCTTACCAGCAGGCGGCGGTAGTGTGTATTCGTCATTCAAAAGAGGCAACCGGAAGACAGACTGCGTGATAACCGAGAGAAGAAGAACAGACTGCGTGATATAAACAAACAACAAATAGCGTGTGCGTTCCATTTTCACTCTACAGCGAGAAGCTCATGGGGCTTTCCCGAACCTGTCTCGAGAGCTGGAGTTAAATGAAATCCCAGATTTGCCTTCTTAATAGTTTGTTTGGGTCACTCACTTCCGTTTCGCTTCTCATGCACTGATTCGCTAAGCTGAACAGCCAATCAGAGTGATTTCCCGCAGGTTTTCGGCCGAAAAGACGTAGGCCCGGCTGAAAAGACCCGACGGTGCGGGACACACCAATCTGAGTAGGGCATGTCGACGCTCATCGTCGGCCTGACGCCCACCGATGCCGATAATCGGCCTGGTGTGTCCGGGCCTTAACAGTCATTGCCTGTCTCGTACAGCCTACCAACTAACATTACGGGGATATCTTTAAACCAAGACAGATTGCATTGTATTTTAAATCCACCCAATGGATATGGAGTATATTGTGGAATTTCAGCTTGTTTTACACGCCACATAAACTTACACATTGCCCAGCATTTATCTACAAAGATTGTACAAACAAGAGTTAGATCAATGAATGAAATCATGCACAAATTGAAATGTCATGTGCATCCTGCCACTACTATCTCTCACTGGCCGATGACACTGGCTTTGAAACACAACCACAAATCATGAATGTCTCTCTATAAATACAAAGCAAAAGACTACTACTAGAATACTACTTGGGTCATTCATCCTTCTTTATCTTTTTTCATCGTAGTCCATTTGTCACAATAGGCTAGAGCCTTCACCACAGTGTGTTGTGTGAATGTGTGGGTCCTTGGTCTTTATCTGAGCAGTGAAAAAACGGTCACTGTGAGTAGAAAGCACAAGGACAAGTGCAAGACGACAAAAAAAACACTGAGCGGTCACAGATGGGGAAGAGAGATGATTTACCAACAACGCATGAGGGAGGAGGGTTTTAATATGAAGAAATAGGTGGAGTGGGGAGGGGGGTGGACAGATGGACAGACAGGTAGAGGGAGTAAAATGCCTGGGTGGGATGGAGATACACTGTGTGGATGGAGAGAGAGAGAGAGAGAGAGAAAGAGAGAGAGTGAGAGATAGAGTGGGAGGCAAACAAGGGGAGAGCTGATGAGAGAAAATAAGGGAGGCAGAACAGGAAAGGGGAAAGGACGTCCAGCCTTACAGTATACACCCATCCCCCATCTCTCTCCCCCCTGTGTGTGTGTTTGTGTGTGTGTGTGTGTGTGTGTGTGTGCGTGCGTGCGTGCGTGCGTGCGTGCGTGCGTGCGTGCGTGCGTGCGTGCGTGCGTGTGTGTGTGTGTGTTGACAGAGAGGTTAAAGATAGAGAGCTTCCCAGTGCTACTGTAGCAACACGACTATGCTATTAGCATTCAGCAGAAGGGATAGACTTGCCTCTGTCACACAGCATGATTGTGTGTGTGTGTGTGTGTGTGTGTGTGTGTGTGTGTGTGTGTGTGTGTGTGTGTGTGTGTGTGTGTGTGTGTGTGTGCGTGTGTGCGCGCACACGTAAGAATGTGATGGGGAGAAAATGGTTGTATCACCGAGTAAAGCTGAGAGGAAACTGAGGAGACATTTGGGAGATGTGTAGATGATGTGTGGCTACAATCGGACAGATACATTGGTATTTGTTTCATTTCCCTTTACACCCATTGAATATACGTGAGCCTGAATTTTCTCTGTTCCATTACTCTTGTATGGTTGACCTTTATCACATTTTTTAGTACTGTATGTATGAATAAGCAGTATATGATCAGCTGATGTTATGCAGCTTTTTAAGTCATTCTTCAAAGAGGCCCTATTGTGCTTTTTGGGGTTTAACTTTCCTGTGTTGTATAGGTTTCTGTGCATGTAAATGGTCTACAAAGGCTAAAATCCCTCCAAATCACATCTTTAAAACATGTTTTGACTACTTCACTGATTGATGTATTCCTTTATTTTACCCTTACAAAGCTGGATATTGAGAGACAGACTAACACTGCCAAATACAAAATAACTCTTGATTTAATTACTAATATTGTTAACCCTTGTGGTGTTCGGGTCTGTGGGACCCGTTTTCATTATTTAGCTAAAGAAAAATGATATGATCAATTATTTTTTCAAACTCACACTCAATGGCCTTGGCTCATTTTCTGTGAAGAACATCTATCAGAACCAGGGGCGCCGTAAGGGGGTGAAAGGTTAGGACGATTCTAAGGGCCCGTGACTGACAGGGGCCCCAAACATTTTTAGAACATTAAGAACAATTTTTTAAGTAACTCTTCATCAATCATCAACAATTAACATTAATATAAAGTTAAATTGATGATGTACTCACTACACTTACGATTCATTTCACTTTTTTTCTGCCAAAAGTTATCATCAATTTAACTTTATATTAATGTTAATTGTTGATGATTGATGAAGAGNTTTACATTTGTTAGATCACATTAATGAATTTAAGTGCTACTTGTTTTTTTGCCCGCTGACCGGCTGGCCCTGTGGCTCGTCTTTTTTTCGTAACTAGCTGATGCTCGATCTCATCCTCTTCTTTAAAGTCACTGTCAGACTCAGAATTCTCACATTCTAAAACCTCTTCCTCTTCCTCTACATCACATGTGTCAAACTCAAGGCCCGGGGGCCAAATCAGGCCCTTGGTGGATTTAATTTCGGCCCTCGACTAGTACCCACTTTTTTATTTTGGCCCACTGTGTGTTTGAGTTTGACACCCCTGCTCTACATCATCATCAAATGGTTCTCTCTCTTCCAAAATCATTTGCAAGGCCCTTTGAGCAGAGAATCTTTTGGCCATCTTGATCAGTTGTGATAAGGACCCAAACTGGCGAAGCTTTATTTATTGTGTCCAGTGGACCCGAACATCCTGTATGTAATGTAAATGTGTAGAGGGGGGGGGGGTATGTACAGTGGATGGTCATTGAAAATGTGTTCAGATACATGT